GGATCCCATCGGCCTTCTTGGCCACGAGGGCACACTGCTGACTCATGGTCAACTTGTTGTCAGCCAGGACTCCCAGGTCCCTCTCTGCGGAGCTGCTTCCAGCAGGTCGACCCTTAATCTGTCCTAGTTCCTTCGGTTATTCCTCCCCAGGTGCAAGACTCTGCACTTGTCCTTGTTGAACCTCATGAGGTTCCTCTCTGCTCAAAGACTTAAAGATTTAGTAGTGTTTAACTTGCAGGAAGGGTTCAGATGATCTCTCAGGGCCAATTTTGTAGCTGTAGGGGTGCTGAGGGAGCAGAGCACCTGGGCATGAAGTGACACCTCCATCCTTGGACATCCTTGGGAACGATCATGAAAGCAGCCCCAGGAAATACTTGTCTGTATGTACTAAATACGTCTCCCAGCCCTGTCACCTATGGACCACCACAGAGGATGGAGACTTGGTCCTCATGTTTGAAGTTTGTGATACTCCTCCACGTGACTGTGACAATAACATATTGCACAAGATGCCATAACCCTTTCGCTTTCTGACCTCAGCTATGGCTACTTTACAAGGACAGTTTTAACATCAAAAAGTCAGCAGAGCTAACCCACTTCTCTGCCAGCTCCACCCTCCATGAGCAGATGTCAGTCTTTCCTTGAACTTTGTCCCTGAATTAGAGAGGTAAGCAGAAAGCATCAGATAAGAAACTGGACACCACAAAATAATCAAACAAAATCTGAAGGACTTTGATAATAGACATGCTTGGAGTGAAGATACTTTCACGTGGATTCACATGGATTCCTTTACTTTGGCATTAGGCAGGCCCTGTAGTGAGAGTTTCTTTTAGGAGAGAAATGTGCAGCACTGAGATCTTTCTAACAATTTATAGCCATCGTCTCTGCTTTTTTTTTTTTTTTTTTTTTTTYTTTTTAAACCATGCTTAAACCACAAGCTCACAGAGGTGTCATCTTTGGGGCAGTGTTCAAACACTGGACAAACACAGGAATGCCCTACATGATAATGTAATACAAACAGTGATAAGAGAAACTGGACTCCAGTGGAGAAATGCAAGTGTACTCTGATGACCAGAAAAGTTTCTGGCTTTCATCCTAGGAAAGCTGCGGTAGCTTTCTGAGGCCTCCCGGGGCAGAGAACAACATAACATTAGCTAAAATACATGTTAGCTAAATAAATAATAGCTTCATCAACATGACAAAAGAAAAGACATGTAGATATGTATAATGTAAAGATTCACTTGATTAGCAATGTGCTCTGCCAGCACATAATCAATCCTCCTTTTCTCTATCTCTCTTCCTCACGTGCGTGCACACACATACATCTACAGATACTATGTGCAATTCAGTGTTCATTCAACACAATTTCCTGCCTTTTCCCTCCTAGCAGACATCTCAGGCAGCTGCCAGCTGTTTTTTTCCAGGTTCAGCTATGCCCTTTYACTCTGGTCAGTGCAGATGGCTAGAGATGTCACTGTTTCTCCAGATAGGCAAATTGACTGAATTTTCACATTGCAGAACTATATTCTTAATTACAGCACTAACACATACAGGAGATGGAGACTTAAATGGAAAGCTCTTTACCTCTCAGTGTTAAAGGCTGGACCTATGAAAGGCTTTTTTATCCTGAGCAAATCTTTCTCCTGCCACTTCGATGTCAGGCTGCTATCGGCGCTTCAAGCATGAACATTTGAGAAAGCCATAAAAAAAAGCAAGTGGTAAAAAACTCCCTGGGAATAAAAGTGCTGTTTGCATAAACTCTCACATCCTTCTCCCGCCTCGCAGCAGGTGGTAGGATGACACTCTCCCGGTGAGATGGGAGAGGAAACATGACGGCTTATCGGTATGCGCTGCCTGCAATGTTTTGCAGAGTTGCAAAAGGACAGCACACCAAGCACATTCTCGGKCACGCTGCCAACCTGGGGCCTAACGGGTAAACAGAAAGCAAAGCACCAAACACAAAGCTTCTTTAAAAAAAAAAAAAAAAAATTGACACCAGATGGTCAATGAAATGATCCAGAACAGGGGAATGTGAATGAACATTTCAAGTTCTGCTTTAACACCTTATTAACCATATAAAGGCCCATGTATTAGTAAGGGTCTGCACTCTGSGAGAGGCACAACACACGGGAATTTTGAAAATAATCCATCTATTCCTGAGCAACCAGTGAAGCCACCACCTCAGCATCCAAGCGCCTCTCTCCTACAGGTAGGTGTATTCACCCCAATCYCTTTTTTTCCTGACTCGAGCTCCTTTGCACCATTAAATTACCAGAAATATATATTTTTTGTTGTTTTTCTGACTGAGCCCCATATAATACGCCTTGCAGACCCTAACGAAAGGCGCCTGCATGAGTCGATACCATAGGCTAGCACAGAGCGGCTTTGTGCAGGGAGAACAAGGCCTCTGCAGTACGCTCCGGGGCTCCTGCTTCCTTGGGCTTGCTCTGGATCCCTGTCCCAGATTAAGGAAGGGCTGCGGGAGGCTGTGTCAGGGTCTGCTTTGCCAGGGAACATCTGCACACGGCATTGCTGCACTCACCTGGCCACCTTGCTTGGACAGAGCCGGCAAACCCACCCACGGCTATTGCAAAACTCCAGCAGCCATGCTGCACCACTTAGTGCCCGGGACATCCCGTCCAAAGGCTTGTTAGGCAAAATATGGCTGTTCTCGATCCAGTAATCCTTCTCTCTCCCCAGAGAGAAGCGTTGCAAAAGCAGCATGTTTTGAGCAAGGAACACCAGAAGGGCTTTGTGGACCTTCCCAACTACCCACCCACACAAGGTAGTGTCCCCATAATCTTCTCTTGCCCTTGACAGGCTCTTAAGCTACATAGTAGAATATCTCTCTCAAACTCTGATCACATCAAATAAAATCTCAGACTTGAGAAATTTCCATCCCTTTAAGTGGTCACAAGCCTGAAATCTTGGGAGATGCTCTAGTCAACAACACCGCTATAAAAGGGGAACAATAAGACAAAGCAGGGACTGTGGCAGGGGATCATTTTGCAAAATTAAGTCTAGACGACCCTCAGTGGTACGAGACAAATTAATTCCTTCTTTTCCTGAAATGGACCCAGGATTTATCACGGTTTGTTCTGATACAATTCTCTCCAAGTTCAACTAATGCAGTAGAGTCAGCACAAACTTTTATGAGGCGGTGTTAGCCTGTTATTGATCAATTTACCTAAGACAAAATAATTTCAAGTCAATTATTAATAAAAATTAAGCTGCTTTTATGATGAAATAAGAGTACTGGCATATGATCACATGCACTGATGGGACTTACACGCACAGCCTTAACTAAAAAGGTGCAGCTCTGTCTTGCACAAGCTCAGAGATAAAACCCTGACTAATAAAAGCGTGCTGACAGYGTGCTGAAGGCTAGCCCAGAGAAAACTTGGCCCTCTGACTACAGTGCATTTGTCTTGCTTTCCTTTTCCTCTCTGCTAGCCATCTATCTTCTCTGTGGCCCACATTTTCTCAGCACACCCATGTGAGCACAAGTCATGACTCCAGCCTGACCTCCCCACTCTGCAGCTTTGCTGCCTCTCTACACATCGGTCAACCTGATCTTATTTTCCTYCCCGCTCTCTTAAAAATGAAAATAAAACCACCAAGCTGCTCCCAAAGCAAGTCATCAAGCACAAATGAAGTAGCAACGCTGAACAGAAACATGGACACAAACCTGTCACTTATAGGATGAGAATAAGGAAATGCAAATATGCACCCACTACTGCTTTAGACTTTGTAGTTTCTATTTTCTCACCTTTTGCTTTGGCACAAGAGCTGGTGTGTGACTGCAAAATCAGAGTGTCTGTAGAGTGTAGAAAAAGGGGGCTCCTTTTTCTTCCTTTTTGTTCTGTTTAAACCATTGATTTTCACCTGGTTTTGAGGAAGTAGCAAAACAATCACTGCACGTTCATTAAATTTAGCCCAGGCCCTCCAGAAGATGCATAAACCTTTCAGTAAGCCAGCCAGAGCCCTGGCTTTGAAACATAGAGCCTGAATGCAGCCCGCCTGGTTTCCGATTTCATGAGGAGAGTTTTGCACAGCTCCAGTGCTGGTGCTGCAGCAAGGAGCTTTTGAAGCAGCTACTTGGCATATGTTTTCTGTTTATTTTCTAATAAAAGAAGAATTATATGCAGTAAATTTTCTAAAAAGCAATTGTACCGGCACCAAGCCACAGGGAAACAATTGCAAAATCCCTCGATGCTTTCCTTTAACATCATGTTCTGACAGCTCTGTTTACAAGTGGAGCTGATCTCTCTTTTAATTAACTTTTTTAAGAAATAAAATTCAGGAAAGTTTATTAGTCCATTCTGACAAACACAACAAACAGGGCTCTGATCACTTTTACTTACATTGGGACACTTAAGAAGTTTGCAAGTTGAGTAGATGTTTTTCGATGGTTAGCTAGGGGATCCCCTCAAAAACCCTCATTTCACCTTTTTTTTAATCACCCACCATTGTAGCTATACTTGAACAGCAGACCATAAGGCACATGGAAGACTAACTGAACGGCAGTTTCATATTCTGATGCACTCCAAGCGCACACGTTGCTGGCGTTGTCAGGACAGCTTCACGGCAGCTTCTTTCCCAGAAGAAAAGCTCCATCACTGTTATTCCCCGAGCCCCAGGGACTGCCAGGCCAGGACGAACATCCGGCAGCCACGGCGTTTACGGCACTCAAGGAGAAGCTTTAATTTCTCCCTGCGACAGATTTAAACAGAGTCTTGAACTTCCGTCTCCTAAATCACACCCRGGCGCTTTCCTCTCCCAGGCACCGGTGTGTAAATCAGCATTTTCTTTTTCTTCATATTTCCTCTCACCTGACAAATCTTGAAATGTCACTGAGGAGGTGAGCAGCTCCGGCAGGTGCCTTACAGGGATGAGCTCCGGCGCTCCTCCTTCCACTTCACTGTTCTGCCATCTCCCYCTCTGAAGCTTGTCCTGATGATCAYTCCTAAAACTTGCTTTTCTTCCACAAAAAACAAGAGCCAGGAGTGCAAATTTTGACGTTTTCAGTAGAAAAGCTTTCAGGTGTTGTGTTATTAATCTGCAAGTATTTCAGGGGTCCAGACGTCCTTGGTAACGGCAGAAATTTGGATGAGGATTGCAGAGTGCAACACGCACTGTATCGAAGATCTACAAAAAGAGAAAATGAGAACWAGTGATGTGTGTACAAAGGGGTTTCTATAGCATAAGCAGTGACTTCTGCAGAACATTRTTTTTAATGAAATTGTTTGCAAAAGAGCAATCAAAGAAGAGAGAAAATAAAGGAGAAGAAGAAAAAATGAAGAAGTGGTTTACGAAAGAAAGGGATGTTTAAAATTTAGTGCTGGGGCAGGCTATAGTGAATATAAAAATCAGCCTGCAATGAACTCCAAGCAACAGGATCCCTGAATGCAGCCTGGCTCTGAGGGAGGTTTCAGCTCCACTCCYCATCCCTATCTCTTCGACCTTGCTTCGGTCACATAAACGAACTGAAAAGAACATATGTTTTCAGGAACATTTCTAAAATAACCAGACAGAAGCTGAGAATTCTGTGCTGCCCACACGAGTCTCCCTCTTGTCCTTTTTGGGGAAAGACTGAGAGGAAATTGATACGTGTTAGTCGCATCATGCAAAGTGCTGCAGTGACAGGGATTTTTACAGGAAGGAGCTGGGAAACAAAGTCCTCTGCAGACCACAGTGAGCAATGGGGCCATGGCAGTGCATCAAGGGTCACTCCCAGGCTGACTTGGGTCTCCAGTGCAGACATTGTCTTTGCCAACATTTTGCTTTGCGGTAACTAAAAAGAGATGTAAAAATAAAGAGACCTGAAGGGATCTGGTGCAGAGCAAACATAAGCAGGGAGCAATGAGTGGAACCAGCTACTTCCCTGAGAGTCTAGMGACAGTAAAAAGGGCATGCACACTTTTCATTTTTCTGGTCTCRATAAAAGTGTTTTCTGTTCCAAAATCAAAGCACAAAGAAAATCATCACAGCAATGTAATCTAATCTAAAAAAAMTTGTCCTTATCTTATTCCTCTCTGGTCCTTCAGCGATGCCCATTTCATTTTCAAGCAGTAGGAAGGGATAGATTTAATCTGTGGTGAGAAATCAGTGCTCGGGCAGCCGCCCATCTCTCATTCCTGCCCTGCCCTCGTGGTCTGTGCCGTACTCCACTCCAGGCAAATCCTAGGAAGCAGCATAAGTGATTTCCTGGAATTCCCCTACATATTTCTCACAGAGTTAAGTACATCATTATATACGAAAGCCAACTGCAACTGTGCCTGCATTTTCTTTCCACCCTAAACACTGAGCCCTGCAGAGATTTTTCATTTCACAAGACTGCTTATTCCTTGAAAATCCAGGCAAGTGCCCTTCCATGGAATAAAGGGAGACGTATTAAAAACTATACCTAGGGCAAGCAGAACAAAATACCCAAAACGTGTAGCTTGTAACAAGACTCAGAGTGAAAGTTGGACATATGGCCTATCCAATAATTGTTACTATGCGCACACCGGGATTCTCTCATTTCCCAGTCTGGAGACCTGATGGTGTTCAGGAAGGGAAGAAAAAGATCTAATAAATTGCAAAAGGAACCCAAGCCCCTCTGTCTAAGGTGTCACTTCCTGAGACTGCAAGTAAAATTTACAAGTGAAATTTAAAAGGGAGCTAGGAAAAATATTTTTCACTATTGAACCATTTTATGTGTTGCCTGCCCACAACAGCACTATGTATAACTAACCATACTGCTTTAACACTATAGGGTCAGTGTCAGGAGTTTTCATTGCTATATTTTCAGAAATGGTTAAAAAAAGAAAAATGAGGATCTAGTACTTCAAAGGTGCTTCTGCAATAGTCGAAAAAAATAATTTGCCAAATTTTAAATAGCTTAAATTGTCCATACTTGTCTGGTTGGCTTTAAAACATTAAATAGAAGCTTTGTAGCACAGTCCTCACCTAGGGCCACCRTCTGTTAGTCCATTATGGCTACGAGTGACACTAACTAACCTGTGTAAGTTGGAGAACATCTTGTCTGTCTTTCCTTAAGTAACCCCACTTAGAGCAGTTTATTAAACTAATTACACAAGATCTAATAAATTATCTCAGAAAAAAAAAAGTTATTGCACATTCGCCTTTCTTGTTATAAAGAACAACCTATCGTTTTTTTCTAGGTTCTAGCCCCAGTCCTGATTTTCCAACCTACACAAAAGGTGAATTGCTCTTCTACCTCTATCTCTTATTCTGATGACTATCATTTGATTTTCAAAGATGTTACACAGTTCCACAGAGAGAAGAGGTTTTCCAGATGAGGATATTCTGCTGCCTCACTGAACAAGATGGCATGAGGCACAGAAAAGTGGTAGAGTAGAATGACRAATCTTTAATAAAAGGCAGATGTTTGAGCATAAGCTTGAATAAATCTGATGATAAATTTCAAACAGACAAGGTGGTGTCCAAGAGTAGTGAAAGGCTAGTAATGCTGGATAGAACATAATCAGCATTTTTCACAACGCAGCAGGAAATTCCCRATCTTCCAACATATATGGGCAAGTCTAAAAGTCAAAAGTTAAAAAAAAAAGTATTTTTTTCTGTTCCTAATGCACACAGATATTCAGCAATATGAAACTGCAKTTTCTTTGGGCATCCAGGCCCTGCCTCCCTGCACCAGCGCTGCCCTTTCCCTTGGCTGCCCAGGCAGTGCCCTTCAAAGTATAGAAAGGCCCATACAAAACTGGTGTCACCTCGTCCTTTAAAGCCTCCTGACCCATGTTAGGCAGCAAGCAGGTAGCCTAAAGTGTGCCAAGGGCTATTTTAAAGCCCTTCTGGGCTGCTGCTTCTTTCAAAGAGCATTTCCCAACAGCAGGAGGCACCAGCAAAACCCACAGTGCTGGTGATATTTAAAGCATCCCCCAAGTGCCGGCGATATTTAAAGCATCCCCCGGAAATATCTGCAAGCAAAGCAAGCAGAGGGCTGCTAGGCTTTACCTGCAGGGCTCTCTTTACGAACTAACCATTTTCTTCCCCTGGCATTGGCTCCAGCCCAAATGAGATGTGCTTCAAAGGAGGAGTCTTTGCRATAGGGTCTCCAGGCTGGAAGTGCTCTCATCAGTCCCAGCTGGACACCTGGGGATCTGCCTGTCAAAGCTGGTGCTGCTTTCACCCTTCTGAATGGCGCAAGGCAGGGGAGCAAACTGGAGRTGTTTATTCCCTGCTATTTTATCCTGGCACCTTTGGCCAGGTGTTCTGCTGTGCGAAAGCTCAGCGAGATGTGTCTGCTTGTTGCTGGAGGCAGGGAAAAGAAATCCCCCTTTCTTTTAGGCATGTCAGTGGGACTCTCAAAGCTGACAACACAGAAAACTTCTGTTTATTCAGAGCAAGGATGCAAAATGACAGTTCATCATAAGTGAGATGGGAAGACCTCAGGTGGAGGGTGGACTCAAGAAAACCATGTGTTGGGCTATGTGCAATGTCGGCACGGATGGCAGCTGGGAGAGGAGCATTCTGTCAAGSTAAGCTGAGCCCCTGACCAAGCTCTGCATTAAAAGATTCTCAAGAGAAGTCTCCAGCTTTTGCAAAAGGTATTGAGGTCCAAAGATGTTTCTAGCTCTGTCCCCAGGGCCTGWTTTCACAGACACAACATAGTGAGCTGCTTGCACAGAGCACCTGGCGTTTCCCACCGGCATCCGAAGGTGGAGGATAGCAGGCTGGGAATCATCAGAGCAGGGTTTAGATTTGCAGGATGCCAAAAGAGAGAGCCTTATACTGGGCAGAATCAGATAGCAGACCGGGCTATATGAGGTGAGATATGCGGAGCACTCACTCAGGGCCAAGGGATAATGCCTCCTTGCATGACATCAATTGGTATCCAAAGAATCCAGAGGCTACCATGCAACCACTGACCTTTGCCAGGGGTTGGAAGAGATGTCGCTCACCAGCTTCAGGGCTGTGACTGTGCCATAGACAGCTCCGGAGCAGACAGGGAGATATTGTTGCTAGAAGAAAGTGATAGCATCAGTAACCGCCTCGGACAAAAATTAAGCTGTCTTCTGGCTGAAGTTGCCTTGCTAGATGTTGAACTTGAGGGTGAGGACAGTACCAGTAAGACGACAGGCTCAGGAGACAGRGTCTCCACACTATCTACTTAAATATCACAGGTGAGGAACTGAAAGCGTTACGTTTGMAGACAGAGCCTCTTTTTCCCTCTCTATAGCTCCTGGTCCTGTAAAAGGCATTTCAGCCTAGACCCAGTCRGCTGCAGTCTCTGGAGATGACTAAAGGACCTCGTAGCTCCACAACCAAAATAGACTGAAATGGGAAAAAAAGAAATCTTGTAGGGAAGAGCCTCAAAAGCCCAGCCAATTTTTCCTCTCACGTGGCGAGACTTTGCTTGCCCTCCTCCTCCTGGGACAGCAAGCCCTCCTGCACGGCTGCTGCCCCTTGCAAGCTCCTGTTCACACAGCATCCGCCGCGGCCGCACTCCTCCGCTCCCGCAGCTCCAACAGGAGCCGAGGTGACGCAAAGCTCTGGAGCACTCCTGGCTGTTCACACGAGCGCCGGCGGCTGCGGTGCCGTGCGGCACCCGGTGCAAGGTGTGCACGAGCGCGCGCACCGCCCCGCGCGTCGCGCCCGTCCGCCGCCGCTGCCAGCCGGCAGGGCAGTAACACGGAGCAGCTGCTGCCGTGCCCCAAGGACCCTCAGACTGATCAAAGCCCAGCGCTCGACTAACTTTTGCAGTGTTACTAAGAGCAATGGAACAGTGTCAAGGATACCTTGGAATTTCCCTTTCATCCCAGCTGCAGCCACGGTGCTGTTATATGAAGCAGAAGGGGATAAGCAACTCAGACATCAAGGATTTTCCTAATTCCCTCCACGGGCACAAGTGTTAGGTACATTTTCTCCCTAGCCTCCTCTTCRCGGCTCCAACAGAGGTGCTGTAGCAGCGCTGGGAAAACAGGGCTGGATGAGGACTTTGGAGGTTATATGCAGCACTCTGTGGGTTTCGCAGCAAAGGCTTCCAGTAAGACTGCATGTTATATCACACTCCCCTTGCTGTGAAGCTGSAAGTCAGGTACAATCTGCAAGCAAAACTTCTGGCCTCCAAGGCAGAACCAACCCAGGACATGTCTTTAACAGACATAAAAATTCTTTAAGTAAACAAGAACATGTCACTCAAGTGCCTCATTGTTTGCAAACCAGCTCACATTCCGCAGTAGGGAGCCACGGAAAAAGTGTTTGCATAGAAACCACTAGGAAGGCCCATTATATCTCATTTCCCAACAAAGCCCAGGCTGTTATCCCTGCTGTAATCAGCCTAGTTGTGCAACAAACGTGATCAAAGGGAAAAGATCATGAACGCTCCCACATGAGAAAACCCTTGGCCACAAAGAGAGGGAATTACACAGGCAATATAAGGTATCACTTGTCTCATTTGGTGTCCTTGAGAACTATACTATGACATACATGGTGATAACTGGCATCTRAGAATAAAAAGTAAGTAGATGCTACAATATGAGGTTTTTTCTTTTTTTTTCTTTTTTTCTTTTTTTTTCAGAAAAGCCATGTTCTGCAGCTCAGGTTATACAATCTGTTTTCATGAAGGAAAAAAAAAAAGTAAGGAAAAAAGCTCACTTTGCTTATAGTCTCTGCAATACACTGCAGAGACTTTATTTTGTATAGAGTTAAAAAAAAAAAGTTGGAAAGTTTAAGTTTGGAAAGTTTCTCTTGATATGTATTTGTTTATCATCTAACATGAGGAATAWAAAAAAAAAGAAAAAGGAAAAGAAATATTAGCCATGACATACTACCAAAACCTCTAAGTTAAATAGTTGTAAGTATATTATAAATGGGTATTCCACAAGCACAAGAGRCACATGCTAGTTGATGTGAGTTATTAAAGACTCAGCTGGAAATATGCAGACTATAAGATCATGTTTTAAGCAATTTTAACTGAAAACATACGCAGAGCATACTCTCTAGCAGATAACTACACATGGAGGGAAACACAGTTCGTGCAGAAAATAGAAAGGTTGTAGCAATTTTCCCTCTTTATCTGACAAAGAGTTATATGTATTATAAAAGTACTTTCCATCTTCCTTTTAGAAAAGCACTTTTTTTTTGTCCCTGTGAGTCACCTACCTCTAGAATTCACTGTGGTGTGTAAATACTCCCAAATTTACAAAATCCAGGAGAATGCTTTTTAACTTCTCCCTCGTCCAAAACAACAGCTTGCTAAAACAGAAAATAACAGAAAATCCAGAAGATTTTTTGCCCAGCAGACTGCTAGGGCAACTCTTTCAAATCCACAGCTCTTTTCTCCTTCTTCTATTTTCTTCCCCCAAACAGTAGAGGCTGTATTTAAAGGTCATATTTTCTCTATTTCCCAGGATACTCAGCAATTTGATAACACCTGAGAAAAGGGGTGAATTCCTCACTTCAGAAGATTGCTGACAAGTTTTGCTCAGGTAACGGGGTTGTTAAGTACTTTCTTCACCTGGGAATTCTGCAGTCTTTAACATTAAAGGAACTCAGATGTCTGACCTACTTTTTCTTTTTTTAAAAAAACAAAAACTCTACTTTTCCTTTACATTCTCCCTCTATTATGTTTGTGTGCATATGCAGAAAGCAATCTTAAGTGCAAGCTGCTAGTTTTCAAAACCCCATTCTTTTCTTGTTTGAGATGACTAATCTAGCTATAAAACTCTGCACCGTCAATCCAGGAATCCCAAAGCTGCCTTAGTGGCTTTTCAAGCTGTTTTTGTGTGCTTTGCTGGAGACTGGAAACTCGTGCTGATAGGATGCTAATTCTAATTACTTGCAAGTAAGGCCAGGCTGAAACCTCCTTGTTTTTGTTTCCTAGAGAATGAACTGGGATCACATCTGCATTTTATAAAAGCTCCTGAATAGTTGCTGATCAACAACAACCGGCGGCCAAGGCTTTGCCTCAAGAAACTTGCATTGTTTTTCAGTTCGGGTTGCTAGATACTAAGTCCTTGTAAAAAGTCTGGGTAAGTCATTTAAAGTCTGAAGCTGAGTACTGTGCTTCCCTGAACCACTAGCACTAATTGTTGCTAACACCAATTATATGCAAATGGCTCCTGACTGCATTATTTGGCTTCCTTGGTTCCTTAAAGGATAGTTGTTGCTATCTTAAGATGTACTGGTATCTTTAGTTTCTACAAAGCAGGGTGATTTCAGACTGTAAATGGAACAAAAAAAATAATAATTGTTTTTCTCTTTTCCTAGTTTCAGTTTAAAAGCTGCAAAAGCACTGGAACAGCAGGGCAGGGAGGCTAGAAGAATTTCAAAGCTGTGTGTTTAAGAAGTGCTYGTGCGGTTTGCTCTCAGTTACATCACGGAGTGTGTGTGTCGGGGTGGCAGGTTGCCTCTCTGCCACCCCCGCCCCGAGCAGCACACGGGATTTTTGGGGGGCAGGTGTCCTGTTCTGGTGAACGCGGAGGAGAGGTGACTCCTGATGGCAGCCACACCTCGGGTGACCCGGCTGGCCGTGCCTGGCGCCCGACAGCTTTCCCGGCCATTCCTAGAAGCCGCTGTTGATCTCCTGCCCGGGATCGCTTGTCTGTGACTCCGGCCATCCTTCTCCTGCAGTTGTCGCTGGGGGCTATCACGTGTCAAGGCAGGCTGCTGCTGCCAGCSACCCGCTGGCTCCTTGGGCTCGCTCGCCCAGCACCGGGTCAGCGGGCGCTGTGGTGGCCGCAGCTCACGCGCAGGTCGGGGCGCGCGCAGCCCTGACGCCAGGGTGGGATGTGCTCCAAGCCCAASGTGAACAGACGAGCAGCGCCATGAGCCCCGCGAGCTGCCGGGAAGCAGGGGCTGTGGAGGAGCTGGAGGGGCTTGCGAGATGCTCTCGGTCCAGGACTGCGGTTGAGAGATGTGGCCTCAACGCCGTCCACCTGTGCTTGGTTGTGCCCAATGTGCAGGAAGGAGAGGAGCTCAAGAACAGTAGCCAGCTATGGAGGAACTCTTTACAGAACCACTGGGAGACACAGAGAAGTCATGTTCATGCTCCTGTTCTACATGTGGCACACAAATCCCTGTGCTCTTTGCTCACAGTGAAGCGCAGATGGGGTCTCACGGCACCGCGGTGCCCACCGTGATGGCAGCGCGGCTAAGCCCTTGCCCTAGTCATTCCCTGCTCAGAGGAAGACCTGGGCACCACACAGCTGGTTCTGCGCCTTGTGCCGTCCCCTGGGAAGCGCAGCCAGAAGGGGAAGCCTGAGCTCGGCTCTCATCCTGAGGGGTGTTTGATGTCATGGCGCGCTACCTTTGGCCTGCGGCATGCGCTGGCTATCCAGTAACTTCCAGGCAGGGATCAAGTGGGCTCGTGCTCAGGCACGAGCTGCTTGGCACGTTCCTGCCAGCAGAAGCGGCGATTCTCCTGTCTGCCTGAGGCACCAGTGCCCAATCCATGAGGCTGATTTAAAATGGTCTCGGGGCAGGGTGTTCTGCAGGAAAGTCCCCAGCCACAATAGCAGCTACCCCTTTCCCCCAGATGTAAAATAGCTTGCACCTATTGACTTCAAGAACAGTGCAGAGGTAGCTTATCTTGATGGATTCATTAACCTCCTTTCAAATTGCTTCCTTGATAGACTACTAGAGTGTACAGAAAGATAAGTATGGGGTAGGAAGAGAGAAAATAACGTAGCAGGCAAAGGGCTTTACTAGGGCTGAGGAGCTGYGTCCTCTGAGGGCTTAATGCCAGATTCATCTAGGAAACACGTGAGTCTCTACACCTCAAGATGAAATGRGGAGGGCTCAGCGAAGGCGCAGGTGCAGGGCGCAGAACTCAAGGCAGGGGATATCTCTGCACAACCATCACCCCGCGTGTTTTATGAGCGTCACAGGACAGCAAGAGCCTTGGATGGCGTTTCAGAACAGACGCTGTCCCCTTCTGGGGTATCGCTGGTAGGAAACGTACTCCTCTCCTGCGGCAGGGCAGGAGCAGCCTGAGAGGAAGCTGAGCCGCTTCCAGTAGCCCGGGATTCCTGCCCGGGGAACAGGAACTGCTCAGTTATCCTCGAGGGTTTCCTTCGTGCCCGCCTTGCTCCTACAGCAGCACTTCTCAACCTGTGGCCCGCAGCCCTTGGAGGGCAGGGGGAGGAACTGCCCCAGCGCGCGCTTCGTGGTAACCCCGAGTGCGGGATTTAAAAAGCAATAATAATAATAGCGAGAAGAGGGGAGAGCCCTCCCTGGGACGTGCCCGGCCCGGCGCTCGCTCCGCGCGGGGCCGCGCGCTCTGCTGCTGCCGCTGCCACCGCGGGGGCGGCGCGGGGGGCGGCGCGGGGCCGCCGCGGGCGCACGTGGCCCCGCGCCCCAAAAAGGCGCGGGCGGCCCGTGGGAGCGGCCACTGCGAGCCCCGGCCCCCGGTGCGCGAGGGACCCGCGGCAGGCTGCGGAGCGGCGGCGGCTCCCGCCCCTGCGGAGGCTTCCGCGGGCTCGAGGCAGCCCGCCCCGCCGGCACCATGAGCCTCACAGCCGAGAGCCACCGCATCCCGCTCAGCGACGGCAACAGCATCCCGCTCCTGGGGCTGGGCACCTACGCCGACCCCCAGAAAGTAAGTGTCGCGGCGGCGGGGGCGCCCGCAGCCGCCTCCCTCGCGGCGCAGGTGGCGGCGGCTCCGCCGGGACCC